TTACCCACCCCCCCCCCCCCCCCCCCCCAATTCAGTATCAGCAGAATTCCAATAAAACAGTGCAAGTGTTTTAATTCACGTTGAAATTCATGGAGTCAGTAATGAATTTGGATCAAGAATAAAACCAACTGATGGTAAGGCTGATGATAGCATACCACAAGATCAACAGAACAGGGTTGTTGAATGATTGGAGTGTGTCTGCCAAGAGTGCACCTATCCAAGCGTGCCTGAAAATAATTGGCTGCCCCACCCCCTACGCTTGGTGGTCTGCCTCCCAGTCTTTCCTTGGGTGACTCGCTGGGAGGCAGTTGCCTCCCTGGTTTTTCCTTGCATTAAAATATACATATGCACTAAAGTATTTTAAGCATTAAAATATTCAAAGCATTAAACTATTGAAAGCATTAAAATATACCTAGGTTTAAAACTGACCTAACAACCTAACCTAATTTAAATACAGTATTTTAATGCATATGTATATTTTAAATATGTATATTTTAATGCAAGGAAAAACCAGCAAGGCACCTGCCTCCCAGTGAGTCATCCAAGGAAAGACTGGGAGGCAGGCTGCCTAGCCAGGGGGCAGCCCTGCCAGCAGTAACTCCGCGCTGCCCTGCTGGCGTGCCCCTTCCCAGACCTGGGTCTTTCCTTGGGTGATGTTCCCTTGTTCAAATGCTGAAAAGCATTAGGGATGTCAGGTCCACTTTCATTATTTTTTCATTAATACATTTTCATTATTGGAGGGTGTCAGGTTAGGTTAGGTTACAAGCATTGCAAAACTTTGTCATGGAAAACACCCTCCAATAATGAATGAAAATGTGCAGGATTCACATCTTTCAAATTATAAGATCCCCCTGGCATCTTCCCAGAGAGGCTCAGAACCTGCATTCCCTTGTTCAGCATATGAACAAGGGAACGTCACCCAAGGCAAGACCAAGGTCCGGGAGTGGGTACGCTAGCGGGGCGGCGCGAAGTTATTGCTGGCGTGGCGTCAGAAACTCCCCAGTCGGGAACATGTGCCTGCCGCGCAGGGGGGCTAGTTATTGTCCGGTGCCCCCTCTAAGAGCGTGCCGTTCTCAGCGACATCTATGTGGACATAGTTTTGCCCTTGGCTCCCCCCAAGTGGGGAAGCTCCTCCCATGAGAATCGAATGCATAATGCATCACCAAAACTTTTATTTTAATGCACAGTTTACCCGCCTATGACACGCATCACCTTACATCCTCTATTCTGAGGAAGAAAGTTGCACGTTGTACTCAAGTAAAAATCGTTGATTCTTTGAGTCCCACAGAAGAAGCGAAACAGTTGAGAACATTGTCTCCCTGCATTGCATATAGTGTGGTGATCAACTGCTTTCCGAAAATTGTAGAAGGGATGTGTTCAAAATGATCATTTCCTGAGATATGCCTTGTGAATTTGAAAGTAAGGGCTAGCTTTTTTCTCTGGACCTGATATTTCCTAGCTCATGTCAGACGGCATCCTCGGAAGGCGGTGATCCCTGATGCTCTATTTTGAGGTGAAATGTGTCCGAAACTCGTCCTATTATTGAGGTTCTGGCGTAGCGTCATGGTAGGTAGAAGCTTGTGGGTTGCAATTTTCTGCGTTTTTAGCGTTGGCATTGTATGGTGTGATGAGTGAGGTCGTGAATTTTCATTTTCAGCCGCACAGCGTTGGTGTTTGCATTTTTGGTGCCATCTTTGAGCTTATCCTTGTGTTTATTTTATCCTCCCCGTTCCTTTCACGGCTTTATATTTCACGTTCGCTTACCATTTCTGCAAAGCATGTCGGGTGAGGGCTTCACACTGATGTTGGATAAGGTAGTTCTTTATGGTAAATTTGGAACTATTTGGTGAGTTCGTGAGACCAAAATAATCTGGTTTAGTCCTGATCAGTGGCTTTTTTCAGGGAAGCTTCGAAAGAGACGGATCCTCAACAGGTTCATGCGAAGATTATGGATCTGAGAACCGTGGAAGGCAGGAGGGCTGCCTACAGGTTGCTGGTTTTCAAAGATTGTCTGCGTCATTCCCGAGTAAGCTTTGCTGTCGGTCGTTTATCTATTCTATCGAAGCAATTCTTCCGTGTGGAGCGGACATACGTGAATTACAGTAGTTTTCAAATTTTCGAAAGCTTATCAAATTGGCAGTGTTCCTAAAAAAAATAAGGTCGTAGATCACTGCTCCCCAAACTTTTTTGGGCATGCGGACCGGCTAATTTCCTCAAAAGTTTTTGCAGACCCACTAAATTTCATGCAATTTTTCTGACCAGCGGGAAATTTTCGAGATACCTGCCATAAAGTCATCCAATCAAAAGTTGTATTGCAAGAATTAAGTAAAAAACTAGAGAAGCTGTGATAATGGGATGTCTTCAAAAAAAAATCAGAAAGTGGGCCTTGAGGAAAGGTTTCTCAGAATGAATAATCCTGTAATTTATTTCATAAGGTGAAAATTCGTCTGTGCTATTACGAGAAAAGCCAACTTTCATATTTCATTGGATGATTTCTACTGCCATTTTCTTACCAAAATCGCTTATAGAGATAACAGACCTTCTTACTGCCATTGATAATTGTGTTAAGCCAAAAAAAGTTTCCTACATGCTTTCAACAAACTTCTACGGACCAACACCCATCTGCAGACCACTGTTGTAGATCAATTTAAAGGACGAAAATTGCACGTTGGGATTGGTTCTAATGACATGATAATGCGGAAAACCCATTGAAAAGTATTTGAACTTCCCAAAGAATTGCAATTGTTCGACTTACCCGCTTCATATTTGATGAAACCACTTCTGTTGTTTCTACTCAATTGTCCGCAGTCCCCTTCTTATGTTGAAGCTTTCAGAAAAATAGTATTTTAATGAGTGTCTTCATACTTGCCTGTATTTACTGCGCATTATTTAGTTGTTAGCAATTTCTCAAAAACTTGGAATTTCACAGCTGATTTGGAAACAATGTATTTGGTCTTGATTTTCTTTCACCGAGTATTGTGGCTGATGAATGTGGTACAGGATTTTAGAAGGAAGGAAATGGAGTATTACTCCAATACTCCAAGGAATTAGAAAGTACAGTCAACACTTTGTCAACAAACTTAATTGGTTCCAGACGTAAGTTTGTAAACCAAATTTGATTTTCCCATAGCCTGCAATGGGGAAGAATTTCATTCATTCTGTGAACAACAAAAAATTGAATTTTTAAAATTCAGAACCTTAAAATGTGATCTGAATGAGTTTTTGCTGCATCTTCTAAGTGCCCAGAATGTTCTTGCAGTGTTTGGGTGAAGTAGCAGTGATGAAAACTATGCTTGAAAAGCTTCACGTTGAGAGGAACACACACCAGAGGTTACATGTCACCTGAAAATGACTTGTTCTGTTTTTCTGTGCTGCAATTGACCTTTATAGCATATGAACAAGTGTAAAAAATTCTTTAAATTGCCTTTGTCTGCACGCCACAACTTCTTGCTGAAGCCAAATGAGCACCTCTCTCATTGGTTGAGCTGAAACCATGGTGCACCCCCAGTTCTTCAACTAAATGGTGAACCCTAAATGTCGTGTAAGCCATACGTCTTTCTGATAATTTTGGTTTGCTTGACAGGTTCATTGGAACTCAATTGTGTCCAATGAGAGGTGCTCCTTTCCTATGGGAAACATTTGGGACCTTTCTTTAAATGTTGCATGATTTGAAAATGATTCCTATGCTTTTCTATCTGATAGCCCATATGCTTTTCTTATTCATTTGTCTTATTCATTGAACAATCGGAAATGCCATTTCTTTCACTCAACAATGAACTTCTTACTTCCTCAAATGTTGACAAAACGTTGCACAGAAGTCAGCAGTTCTAATGGGCTTCTTGATAAAGAACTGCACAGCATTGAAAAAATGAAGTTAAATTCCATTGACAACTGCCTGATTTATTCTCCATCATAACAAGAGCTTGCACTTGATAGTTATTTTGTGAGTAAAGCTAAGATTTAAAGTTTGGCCATGGAGATGCATGAACGAGTCAACAATGCTAATCATTTTGTAGAAAAAATCAAGACAGATCAATTGGCTTGGGGAGTTTACAGATGCATAACTTTCTCAGAGAATTGACACTTGCAAATAATCGAAAAATCTGCTCGTGGTAGTCAATCTGAAAGAAATGACTCTTCATGCTGCTAACAGTTCACAGATATTGTTCGGAAGACAGAAAATCTTCTACGAGAAAATAAAATATTAAATATTTAAAAAATTAAAGTCTGTATGTTTGACATTTGTACAGTTCTTCTTTGAAGACCTGCACAAAAATGATGTGCTCAAGTCATAAGCTTTTGCACAAATCTGTAACGCAATTTTCACAAATATTTTTGCAAATCTTGTGGAAAGTTAATGAACACCAAGAATGAATGTTGCATAAATAAGCACAGGTCTGAACACATGGTTGCAAAAAACAGGAAAGGAAATAATTCTGCCACAGAAGAGCATATCAATACTGGAAATTAATAAGAGATTGGCTGGAATGAAGAAAAATGAAAGCAAAAGATTACGCATATTAAAATTACGAAAGGCAGGAATTCGCGTGCAAGTGCAAATATGAAGTATTTGCACTTAGATAGCATAGAATATAGAATATAGAATTGCATAGATAGAATTTCAGCCTCAGAATCAAATTTTAAATAACTGAATTCTGGTCTGTTGGCCGAGGGATTTTTAGTTGCAGGCAAAAAGTTTGTTAAACAAAATGTTTTATAGCCAAGGGTTGACTGTGCAATAATTACGAAGGGGGTTACATTGAAATGCCGAAGTGGGATATCGAACATGAACTCTTCCCTAAGCCCCAAGAGGTCCAAGTGGATTTCAAGATTCGTTTTGCTCGGTTAGGTTATTATAACCACCTACCGGAAAATACGCCGCAAGCAGTGCAGTTTTTGCCCTTCAAATTGATCCAGGACCAGGTTTCATTTGTGAGGAAACTGCAGTTCTATCCTCAGAATGCGGTATGCTCTCTAAAAATTCTTCTCCGAGCCCCGAATGTCCGCTCCGTGAAATTTGTTCGTACAGCATTTCTTCTTGCCTTCGTTTCCCGTGGAGTTCATTTTCCCTCCGGGGTCCTTCAGACGAATCTTCGGCAAGTTCTGAGGAATCTTTCTCGTGTGAATTTCATTGAAGGTAACAAATGTCCTGGAGGCTTACGATGCCAAAAACGAGATCATATTGGTTAGCGCGAGTGAGGGGTGGACTATCCCCGAGATTTTGGATGCGCACAAGGACGAGGCTTTGCCGACTGCGAGGATAGTCTTCGAATTGCTGCAGGCAGTGAAATACCTTCATGATGCTGCCGTGGTGCACAACGAAATATGCCTGAAAAGCGTTACTTTGAGTCCCACTGGGCGAGTGAAAGTGAGTGAAGATCACCCGAAGGAGTTCACCTGAGCGTTGTGACTTGAGTTTTAATCGGAGATGTAGGCTTTTCTAGTTCATCTGAATTGTATTTCAGCGATAAGTTTCGCATCTGCAAAACGACAACTGTTGTACATGAATATTCATTCCACTGATGTCCAGAGTCTTCTTTTTTTAGGTTGTCTGTATTTGGGTCCTTCAAATGTCCTATTTTATGAGCTTACTTTATTTTTTTGACGCATTCATGCGAAAAGTTGAGTTCTGGGAATTGTCAACGTTTTGAATGCGAGCCGCTGTTGATTCAAGTTTAGAGATGAAGACCAAAGCTCCTTTCTTTCGAGGTCATAGTCTGTTCATGATGTTTTGAAAAGATCCTGGAAATTCACAATTGATCAGATTTATTTAGTTCTTGGCGCAAATTTACTATTCGAAGAAAGACGATGCATTTTATCTGCTCATCCATATTCGTGTTCTGGTGGACCCAACTGCCGTTCGTGGAGCGGAAGTGGAAAGTCCCACGAGAACTCTGGAAAACTAGAAATCCGTGTTTGTATTTATTTTACAGCTGAGGAATTTCGAAGCCGCGGTGACGTTGAAGACACCTATTCCAACCTTGGCGTACACCAGGCCGGACGATTACAGTTTTATCGCCCCGGAGATCATGTTCGGCCAGAGGGTAGGTTTGTTTTCTAAGTAGCGAGTAGCTCCAATTTTCCTTCTTTCTCCAGTACGTGAAAGAATCCTGGCCCGTCGTTGAGTCGATGAGCTATCGAGGCCGCTTTAATAATGTGTGAGCCAGGATTATTCTTCGATTCACAATTGACACACGTCGAAGGGATCCTGTCAGCCGCACTTCAATCAGAGAAGCATGTTGGCACAGCTGCTGCTGTTGAAAATGTCATGCGACGACTTGCCGCGTGTTTTGCAGCAAGTTGTCACTTGAATTGACCAAGTTGTCAACATGCCCTTTGTGTCTGTACACATCTTGAGTGGAAATGAGCCATATAAGAAACACACATCTAAATTATTTGAAAGGAGTTACATGCAATGAATTTATCCGCGTAATTCGAACCACTCTTGGACGAATTTCAATTGACAAAGAAGAAAACTCGACTTGGAGAGGTTTTGACTTGAGCAAGTAAATATTTTTGTTGCTCAGAAAAGTAAAAGAATTGTAGAGCTTGTGAATGAGGATATTCTGTGCCGTGATTTGCTTTTTAATGAGTATTCAGACAGGCACTTGGAAAAAAATTGACTTGTTATCTAGGTTAAACATACGTAATGATGTAAACTAAAAAGCCTTCGAACAGGCGTAATAAAATATCAATTACTTTCTCATAAAAAATGATTGGCAATTTCGATGGCACAGAAAAACTAAAATTATTTCACAATTGTACTTGCCTTGTTTTGCTTAGCTGTTATATCAACGATATCTCGTATAAGGCTTCCAATCATTTTTTTTTATTGTTGGCATCTTGAAAGAAAAAAGAAAAAAATTTAAACCCTCGGTTTTCCTCAGAAAAGAAAGACACGGGGGTATTCTGGATCCAAATAATGAAGCGCTTCTGGTTATGGTGGATTCCGCACTTCGAAAAACATGTCTCGAAGCTCTGGGTATCCCTCAAAAACATTCGGTGTGAACCTGATCGCGATTTATATGAAAATCCCATGTCATGCGCAGATCGTGATAAAATTAAATACCCACCAGAAAGCATTCTGCGGTGAGTGCAGATTTGTTTAGCCCTGTAGGAACAACCTGAACATTTTCTTCATGCAAGTGACTTGTTGATTTCAAATGGTGATGACAACGTCTGCATTGTCGCTGACGGAGGTATTTCTTTCAGTTTTCTTCGGCGAGGTCGGACATGTGGTCGGTGGGCTGTTTCATCGCCTATATGCTCAAGAAGAAACTCGCGTTTTCAAACAAGTCCATGAGGGAAACCCTGAAAGATATCGTGTGGAACATCGGGCTGCCGACCAGGGAGGAATTTCGGGATCTGCATCTCCCGGTAAATACAGCTGTTCAGTTTGCATTGTGCTTTTGGCATCCGAGTGCTGATTCGGGAATCTGACACAGAAAAGCATCATCGAATTTCGTCCCGGCAAGTACCTGAAACGAAACCTGCCCAAGGAAATGTTCCGCGGAGTGGAAATTGTCATGGTCGAAACGCTGCGTTATGATCGCACGTCGAGGATGACGGCGAGGACGGCCGTTCACCAATTCAGCGTCCGATACAAGATGGAGGTGCGTACAGTACAGTATTTTAATTTCTGTACATTTTCTTCTTCGGAAAATTGCAATTCCCGTGCTGCAATTCTGTTCTCCGAAAAAGAAAAAAAATTCGTCAGTATTATGTCCTCTCATCCCCCTTGAGTGGTTTTTCCGATGCTCATCTTCTGAAAGAATGGCCAAATCACCAACCTAACCCGACACCCAATTATTCCGGATTTCGAAGGTTGTCTAGGTTGCACTTCGTTATTAAAATGTAAGTGATGTTCCGGGATATTTAGAGAATTGAACCGAACTTCGGGGGTGTTCTGATGCGTCCTCGTTTAGGAATACGTTTGCCGACTCTCATGAAAAGATAATGAAGAATTTCGACAACGAAAACCTTCCGACCCTTTATACAAATGACCCAACGTAGATGGGAGCACTAGGGTTTTCCCAGTTGAAAGCGGCCTCTGATCTTTCTAGAGTAGGTGTAACTGGTAATCAAAAAATAATAATCTTGACATAGCTCATGATGTTCTAAGGTTCTGGATTTTTATTTTGGATTGAAAAAAGTTAAAGTTTACTGCATGATGACTTTTGAAAACTTCCTAATTGCTGCCAGAATTCCACACCCGCGTGACAAGGTGTTCAAAAATTTGTCAGGCCAGCAAAAAAATTTAAATATTTTTAAAACATTTTTGAAAATTTAGATAATGGTTAAAAGTCTTGAAACAACGAAGTAATCTCGATATTTTAGCATCCTGTGACATGAGTGGAGAGATCTGGTTGTAGCTTGAAAGTTTTCTCTCATCATCAAGCAGTAAATTGTCAATGTTCGTTTTCAATACGGAGAAAAATCCAAGAAGTTGGCACACGTCACGTTTTTTTTTTTTTTTTGCTTTACGATCACACCTACTTTAAAAAAAATTTCAGAAGCCGCGTCCAACTGGTACAGTCCTCGTATATCCTTGCTGTGCTCTTAACGTGGAAGAACTCACGAAATCTTGCGTAATTTTGACTGATAGGCAGTGAGTTAATGTATTTTCCATGCTTTTTTGTCGTCAAGACAGTCCGATCAAGCGATTGTGCGTAATATGATGAAGTCGAATGATTTGTGATGTTGCAATCGGGTCCCGGAGCAGAGGATTTTTGCCGGAGCAGAGCTTACATTTGCGAATGCCCCAGGTCCAAGATTTCAAACGCGAGCGAATGTCCCTGTCCGGGGGAATCTTTTTTCCTGATGCAGTATTTTGCGAATCCTGTTGGCCATTCATTCCTCGTGGACATCAGATCAGAAAAATCAACGAAGTAGCATATGTGAAAATCTTGATGCGTAAAATAGTACTGTACCGTGCCCTAATTTTTTTTTTTAGAAATAGAAAATATTTTTCGTAACCCTGATGTTAAAACATTGACGTGAAGGCCCTGGAGAACAGCCCAGAGCGGGTAATCTTACTGCAGCGAGGGAAAAACAATTTTCAACGAAATTAAAATGGTATCTTTTGCTGAATCCAGTGATGATTTATTCATGAAGCCGCGGGAATTGTTCATTCAACTTGGCATGTTCTTCCAGAGGAGCGCAGAGTTCTTCATGTGTGGCTGTTGTGCTGACACTATGATGAGTGACGATCAAATGGAAGAAGCCTTGCAGGATCAACGTGAGGGGCTCCGAAGGATCCACCAAAGAAAGTTCTACACTGACGAAGAGCAAAATTCGTCGTCTTCTGCTTGAAAATAATGTGCATCAGCCATTTCGTGTGACGGGGAGTAGAGTAGTTTCGCCAGTCAATTGGAAAATATTGATCTCAGAAATTGAGGCTGTTCTTCGCGATTTCGTCGAAATCTCTGCGATTAATCTCACCTGACGTGTCTGATCGCATTTCTGACGGGTCGAGAAGTGTCTTTTCCTATTGGTGATGCGGATTAAACTGGAAATATGTTGCCCCATTTGATTTGTGCAACTTACTTCCTACTAATCAACGTTGGCCTCTCTTGCAGAAAATTTTCTTTTACCCCCTTCTTTACTCTTTCCTTAACTATGGCTTTTGCGGGTGTGTGGCGGAGGACTGCGAAGATGTTACCGTGGAGGTCGATGAGTACAGCATCCAATGCGAAGAACTTGAAGTAAGTTTTGTGTTCGGGGCGAGGTTTTTCCGAAAAGGGTTTTTGAGGTGACGTGTTTCTCCAGGGATAAGGCAGTGAGTCTCTCGTATGTGTCGTATGAGAATCCCGGGAATGATGTTGGGGCGCCGATTATTATAATGCATGGATTGCTGGGATCGAAGGCCAATTGGAACTCGCTGGCCAAGCAAATACATCACAAAACTCATCGAAAGGTTTGTGATGATATACCAGGTTACCTTATGCTTTGCAATGTTGGAGCGATGCAAATCGAAATGTTGCCAAGTCGGGTCTTGTTTTCCCATGGATTTGCATTACATAATTTTGAATCCATTTTTGCTGGAGAAACATTCATCAGAACTCTGTGAAGAGAGAATCGTCTGCCCATTGCAAATGATTCAATCTATATCTTTCAACTCAATAATCAATGAGAAGATTTGAAGCATTTTCGCGGGTGTGAACAATTCACACAACGTTGCGACTCTGAGCATTGAAATGTTGGCATTCTGTGTGAAAAGAACATTCGAGTCAAAAAGAGAGAAGAAAACCCCTCACCACAGGAGGTAATTTTTGAAAATGTGAAAAATGGCGGCGTAATGCCAGAAGAAGTTTTCTTGTTTAAGCTTTTCAATTCTCTAGGGGTTGGAAATATCTTGTTTCTTGTCATCCACCTCTTCCTGAAACAGCTATTTTTTCATTTAATATGTCTGCACCTTGAGTCAGTGTCCGCATTTCAGGCTTTTTTTTATTAGAAAAAAATTTCAAATTGTCAGCGTGTGGGGTCTCACTGTATCTTCGCCATTCTGTCTGGATCTCAGGGGTTCTTGTTATTGCGTTGCTGAAAATGCAGTACTAAAGCTCCAGGTTTTTCTCCTTTTTGCCTCTTTTGGGAAGAGACACCAAGGTGATGTTGGAAGGGTTGTATGGTGTCAAAACATTTTTCATGAGTACTGCAAATTGATGTTATTTTTTGTGTACAGTATGTGGAATGTCCCTTACTGTTGAAGTCAGAGTCAAATGGTTGAAAGGCATTCCCCCGGCAGTCATCAATCAGCACAAGGTCCCCACATCTCAAGAGGGTGCCATGTGCTCCATGAATGCTCAATATTCAATGAGTGGAGATACAGGTTGCACCAACCCTTCCAAGAGGATATGGAGCACTTGCTCTGTGATGGCCAACATCCTTACTATTTGGCATCCCAAGGGATAGGAAATCTCTTGATTTCCTGGTGCTAAAACCTGGAAAGGAAATAGCCCAGCCATTGTTTTCAAAGGCCAGAGGATGGTGGTTCAAGTTGTTTCCGCTTTGACCAACGCCGCAGAAAAAAATGTCATAGTAATCCATTGGAAGTGCTTCTGGAGTGCGGACTGCAGGCCTAACTTCACCTCTTTTACCATGCACTCCCAGCTTCTCCCCAGTGGGGGGAGCCAAGGGAGTTAAAGTCAAAATCAAAACACCAACGCTAATTAGATTTTACTTTCATTTTCTTATCATCAATCATCTTTTGCACTAGGCTTTCACCTCCTCTGAAGGCTGTTCCCCCATCGCAGAACACCCATGCCCTGGGGACTGACAACATTCTCCAAGGCTGATATTAAATGCTCTGCATCCCCCTTCTTTGGTGCCTCCCAGATGCACTGCTATGTTTGTTGAACATGTGATCAGCAGGCCCCAACACTTACCTCCAACAATTCCTTATGGTCCAAAGTGGTCAACCTTGATGCTTGAAAATGGGTTTCCCTCCATTTGCAGGCAATTGGCATGTAGTGCTGCTACCACTGCGCATATTGGGCATGGTCTCCTGTGGTTGCACACCTGGCATTTCCTGATGACTGCCTTGAAAATGATCTTTGCTCCTGTTATTCTGAACCATTGATTCAGCATTGCCTGGACGTATTTAGGTCCTGTACACTCAAGGGAGACATGCTTGTCCCAGATTAGCTTCTTTGCCTGCTGGTTTGTGTCTCCTTTCAAGGCAATTGGGAACTTATTCTCTGCATCTGCCATGAGGGGTGCATTCTCAAACCTGGACTCAATGTGTAACAGCCCTTTGTCGTCCATAAAGTGGAGCTGTTTCCTCAAGGACCCCACATTTGATGGCACTGCCTTCCCTGGATAATGGGAGCTAACCAGTATTTCTGGTACAGAGTACCTTTCCTTATGCATTTTGAAGAGGCCTTCTCCAGATTCTCCATTGATATCCTGGTAACCCCAGCAACATATTCCAACCAAGACGCATCTGCAGGAGCCTCTTGCTCAGCCTCCATACCTAACAAGCTGACCTCTTGTGTGTGTCTCAGTTCAATCTAACTCTCTACATATTTTTCTCCTGGCTGCAAAGGCCAATGGTCCTCTGAAAACCTTAAGGCTGGACCATCCCTGCAGGAGTCCCATTTCCTGCAAAATTTTGTTTGCCTTCAACCCCTGGTATATCCTATCTGCTGGGTTGATTTTTGGTGCTCACATACCTCAGCTCTGTGCAGATGTCATCAAAGCTGGCACTCTCCAAAATCTATTGTGCTTCCCTGATCCTGTGGGGTACAAAAAGCTTAAATCTGGATGGTGCACCCTTTAGCCAAGCCAATATAGCACTGCTGTCTGTCCAGATCACCACTCTCCTGACACAAACACCCATCAATGCCTTCAAGATGTACTGCACCAGGTGGATTTCTGTCAGGTCAGCAACCAACTCCAACCTTTGTATGCTCACAATGCACTTTGGTGCAATCTTGCCACTGGCAGCAAAATGTTTTGGGTAATTTGTCTCATCAGCAATGTCAATGACTGTCCCATATGCTTTCTTTGATGCATCACAGAAAGCATGTGGCATGATTTGGCTGGAATTTCTCAACCCAACCCATGTGGGCATCTCACATGTGTCAACCAACAGGTCCAGCTCTCTTGCCCAGGCTTGGCAATCCTCCTGCAGCTTTTTTGGCAACTCATCCTTTCAGTTCAGCAAGATCTTCCAGACCTCACTCATGAGCAATGCACCTCTCACCTTCAATTGTGCAAAGCTCTCTGTGGGGTCAGAGAGGCTTGCCACAATAGAAAATAACTGTGCAGCATTTGGAATGAGTTGTTCCCTCTTCCTCATTGACTTGTACAACCCATATGGGAGTAACTTCCATTTCATCCCCCAAGGCTTTGGTGGTGTCCTATTTGTCCTAGATTGTCTTTTCACTGTTGTCCTTCCTTTGGGATTGCACTTTTGATGTTGCTGATCCATTTGCTCGATCCTAACCTGCCCTTCTTCAGGGTCTCTCTAACTCATCAGCTGCACTCCTGGGCTTCCTCCTCTGTGTCAAAGGATGCATCAAAATCATCCATGTAAAAGCTCTCCTTCATCAGACTTATAACTTCTTTGTCCTCTTGTCTGCTCTGCTGCCAGCTTGATGCAGAAATTGGCCACTGCAGGTGAGCAGGCTCCCCCAAGGATGTGAATGCAACTTGTGTATGTCACTATGGGAGCATCCTTTGATTCATACCATATCTGCATATGCATGCATTGATGCTTGCTTTCCCTCACCCAAATCTGTGGGAACATGTCAATAATGTCTGCATTGACTGTAACTCTGTGCATGCAGAAACAAATCAGAATGCAACATATCATTGATCAAATTTGACAGTGTCCACCAGGTCATTGAAGCTTTTCCCATGGTTGGCAGCATTGGTGTTCAACGCCCATATCTGGCCTTATGAGGCTTGTCTGGGCAGAAAACCAGAAAATGCAGCAAGTAATAATGAGTCCCAGCTTGAAACTTCCACACTTATTCTGGGCTCAATTCCCTCAGGTACCCACATTTCAGATCATGTTCAAAGGTTCCCTGATACAGCTGATGCAAACATATGCCACTAATTGTGTGCACAAACATCCTTTGGGCAAATCCCAACTCCTTTGCCAAGCTTGCTTCCATTGCAGGCAGGAACTTCTGCTGTCCAGCAAAACACCAACTTCACAGCTTCCTTCAACATATGTATACACCATGCACAAAGGGTGCTGTGCATCTCCAGCAAGGGCCACCACATCAGTCCTGCTCTCTGCCTGAGATCCCTGGTGCTGAATACCAGCCCCCACCCAGACATCCTACACGTAGTACCACCATACAGAGAAATACGTCCATAACGTTACCCAAAAAACGACCGTTTTCACCGAGTATACCATGGGAGAGTTTGTGTCATTCGTTTCCCTATCCAAACTTTAGACGAAAACAAAGTCCTCCATAGTCATATGCTGAAACCTGGTGCATTTGGCCACATTATGGCAGTCCTTGTTGGAGCACAGGCATTTTGCTGGATTCATAAGGTAGCTGACCTGTGCAGGCATGGGCACCAATGCCCTACCTGTTCCAGCCTCTGGGGACTCCACATGCAAGAGAATTGCTTCAACTCTGGGTCTCTGCTGTGGAAGTTGTTGACAAGGGAGTGCACTTTGGAATACTTGCCTGGTTGGGGTTTCAGGTGTGGATCTTCTGCAATTGTCCAATGGCTGCTGCAGAACAGTTGGCAGCCAGTCCTTGAATATTTCAGGCAGGAAGTCAAAGAGGAGGCTCAGCCTTTCCCCTCTTGGGGCCCCTTGCACCCACATCAGTGTGTTTCACCAGGAGCATCTTTTTCACCGTATTTATCAAGATGTACCATCCCAGATCCTCCAACTGCCCCTTATCCCTTATTATTCAAATGATGGATCCCACTCAATTCCTGTATTCCCTCTGACCCTGAGCATTGCACAACCTCAGCGGAGTGGCTTCCATCAACTCTTTCATCGAATTCTGTGTGACCTGAAAAGGCTCCAGGTACTCCTCCTTCAAAATGTCAAGAGCAA